GCATCTTCCCTGTGTTGAAGTTGACAGCATTGAGCTCTCTTGTGCCCAGGTTTGTTACAGTGCCAGCAAAGTCCCTCAAACCTCTCTGAAAGCTGACATTTTCTGGCCTTGAATCCTGATGACTGCACCAATCATGGTACCTCTGTGCTGGGCTTAACATAGGATTCGAATTCAACAGCCCTGGCCATTGCATCCTGCATAATAGAGGGGTGTGCTTGCTTTACTTGTATCTTCAGTTGTGGACTGTCCAAGGCATCTACAAACTGATCCCTCAGCAACAGCTTGAGGACTTTCCAAGTCCTGTGCCAGCTCTTGCAGGCTCTTCCCTTTAGCACGGACTCTAGTCCTAAACCTAGCCCTGTAGACTTTGGGCTTATTTTGAGTTACATACCTGAGTTCTAGAGCAGCTACCAGTGCTCTATACTTGTGCCTGTCATCTGCTGACAACTGTCCAAGTATTTTCAGTGGTTGTCCCTTCAGGCTCGTTGCGAGGTACACTGCTTTCTGCTCCTCTGTCCATCCATTCATTTTTGCCAGTAGCTCAAATTGTGCTCTATATGCTTCCAATGGTGTCTTTCCATCGAATTCCTGTGGCTTCTTTCGTACTAGATCACCCCTATTGCTGACACCCATGTCTGGAATGTGACTTCTGACAGGACTGAAGATGTCTGCTTTAGGGTTTAGCTGCAGGGTCTGGAAGGGGCTTCCCGTTGTCTGAGGCTGATTAGGTCGATGGCTAATATATCATCCTTGTGTAAATAACAGTAAATCGTCCTTTAATGTATTTAATTCACTTTGAAATTTACTCATCTTTTTCATTTGTGTATGCTGGTTTTCTCTCAACTGTTGGAGACTTTCTTCTTGATTATTTTCTTTCTCCTCCAACCACTGCTGTAGTCTCTCTTCTTGTTCATTTTCTTTCTCCTCCAGCCATTGCTATAGTCTCTCTTCTTGTTTCTTTTCTTTTTCCTCCAACAACTGCTGTGATCTCTCTTCTTGTTTCTTTTCTTTTTCCTCCAACAACCGCTGTAATCTCTCTTCTTGTTTATTTTCTTTTTCCTCCAACAACTGCTGTAATCTCTCTTCTTGTTTCTTTTCTCGTTCTTCTTGTTTCTTGTCTCGTTCTTCTTGTTTCTTTTTCTGTTCTTGTATTGCTGCCATCAAATCTGCTAAGCTGTAATTTGATTTGCCACTTTTCGTGTCCATCTTCTTCTTTTTTTTCAATCCCACTTCTGACACCAATTTGTTACGTCTCTGGTCGTTTGTTAATTTCTCGTAAAAATTCTTCCCGCGGAACTTCAGCGATTCAAGTCCTTTCTTAAATAAAACTAGATTACTCTTTCTCAATACAACTTTGCAATATACAGAATTTCCACATTCACTTTAACTTAAACACACGCTATAATTCACAACGATTCACGCACTTTACTTACGGTCACTACCGCTCACTCGACTCAAATATCTGTCTCTATATCTGTCTATCTGCTATTATTTCCCCGCTTTATTTGCCGGGCTTATATACAAAAATAGAGGGTGCCTGGCAAACACTAGAGTTCCCAGGAACAGTCATGATCCTTCTAGAAACTCATGACATGTTACCAGCGTCACGTGACTTCCGCTGTCTTACAATACATTCCTCTTAATTAAGCCATTACTGGTTACAAACTAGTCTATTATGATTTTGATCACCATCATTAAACCTATTGGTTCTTGTTTCACCGGATTTTGGCGTTCTAAACGGTAACGTTAAATAATTTGTACTGCATATAAAATTGTGTTGTGACGTCATTCTTTTATTAAGCGAGTTCTTTTAAATTATCTGATGAAGACAATTCAAAGTTCAGTCAGCATAACGTTAACAGATTAGTGTATTTCTCCCTTAATGTTTCTACAAGGTTCAATACTATTGCAATTTCAGGCCTAAGTTTACAAGTGACGTTTAAACGGAAATATCTCGCTAACAGTATTAGAGTTAACGTAAAAATAAACTTATTTGTGCAATTTCACAGCTCATCAATCAAATAACTGAATATATTAAACCACTAGCACCGATCTAGTTACTTCATTAAACTTAAATACTTTACTGAACTTCTCGTATTTATAGCTAACCCCTGTTCTAGATGTTTCGCAAAGCCTCTCGATCATTGCACCAAACAAACAAACAAATTACAACATTAAAAATATGTCTCACAATAACAGTATTTTAAACACACTATTGTCTGCCAACATTTCCAACCAAGCTGTGATTAGATACGATATTGAACAAAGGGGATCCTGGGCAACAACATATGGCAAACAAGAAATATATTTAAAATAATATTTTTACTTGCTTTTAATTTGAAACTTACAATAGACTTAATCAAGAGAAATGTGGAGAAAAACAACTGCAGTCTAATGTGAATTTTATAGCTGTTATTAATTTATTAGGCCTACTAATATATTTTCACTGGCTTTTGACATTTAATCTGTGGAATGTTGCAAGTAAAACTGAAGCCATGTGATAGTTTTGGTAGTATTCACTGGACTCTATAGGCTGATATTAGAAATGAATAGGC